ACTTGATTTGGATACTGTAGACTGCTTTTTGGACTTCCAGGATATGAGGGAATTGCCAAGGAACACACAATATCCAGTTACGGATCTGCGGGTAGCAGGGCAACTTGCCCAATCTGAGTCTGCGAAGCCAGAGAGTTTGAGTGGAGAGGAAGATGAATAGAACAAACCCTTGGCAGGAGCACCTTTGAGATACTTGAGTACTCGAATTGTTGCAGAATGATGAACTTGCATAGGATGTGAGATGAATTGGCTGAGTTGTTGAACGATGAATGCAAGGTCAGGTCTGGTGGTAGTCAGATATAGAAGTTTTCCAACAAGCCTTCGATAAGCTGTGACGTCTTCGAAAGGTGGTGAGTTATCATCATGAAGCTTCAAGGAGGAATCGAAGGGAGTAGAGCAAGGTTTAGTAGCCAATAAGCCACTGTCTTCGAGCAATTCTAAAGCGTACTTTCTCTGATTGAGAAAAATGTCGTGAGTTGATCTGGCAACTTCTAGACCAAGAAAATATTTTAGCCTACCAAGGTCCTTGATTTTGAAAGTGGAATCAAGGAAGCATTTGACATATTTGATTTCCTGCAAATCATTACCGGCTAAGACAATATCATCAACATAGACTAATAAGGCAGTAAAAGAAGAGTCATGTGATTTTGTGAAAAAAGAATGATCAGCAGAAGAATATGAGTAGCTAAGAGAGATAAGGGCAGTGGACAATTTCGAAAACCACTGTCTGCTAGCCTGCTTCAGGCCATATAATGACTTATGCAATTTGCAAACTTTATTGGTCGAAGAAGTGCAAACTTCGTTGGTCGAAGAAGTGCAAACTTTGTTGGTCGAAGAAGCAGAAGAAGTGCAAACTTTGTTGGTCGAAGAAGTGCAAACTTCGTTGGTCGAAGAAGCAAGGGGCAGGAATCCAGGAGGCAGATCCATATACACTTCCTCATGTAGATCACCATGAAGGAAGGCATTGTTGACGTAGAGTTGTTCCAAGTGCCAATTCTTAATGGCAGCCACTTAGAGAAGGGTTCGAATAGAAGTAAGCTTCGCAACAGGTGAGAAAGTGTCGAAATAATCCACACCCTCCAGCTGAGTATATCCTTTTGCTACCAAACGGGCCTTGTATCGTTCGATGGATCCATCAGCATGATGCTTGATTTTGTAGACCCATTTGCAACCAATCGATTGTTTGCCTGCAGGCAAATCAACAACAGACCAAGTATTTGTAGATTGAAGAGCATCTAACTCAGATTTCATAGCATTGTTCCAACAATCAAACTTGCAGGCTTGTTTATAGGTTTTGGGTTCTGTGAAAGAGCTTATGGATAGACAAAATAATTTGTGATCAGGACTACATTGGCTATAAGATAATACAGAAGAGAGAGGGTAGTTAGAGGAACCTGAGTCAGATGCTGGCAGCATGGGGGATAGCAAATTGTAGTGATAATCAGATAGATAAGTTGGAGGTTTAATATTTCGATTGGATTTTCTGGTTGGCACAAGAGGGGAGGGGCAAGGGGAGTTGTTAGTGTCATTTGAGGAAGAAGAGAGGTTAGTGGGAGAATCTGGCTGGGGGAGATAGGTAGGAGAGGAAAGTTCATTTGATGGTGGAGGTGAGATGGGTGGAATGTTGGTGAAAATATCAGGTGAATCAAGGGAAGGAGGGTCAGGAGTAGGAATTATAGGATTAGGTGCAGGTGGGATGGATGCAAAAGGGAACACAGTTTCATAAAAGAATACATTCCTTGAAATGTAAAATTCATGTGTGATAGGATCATAGAGAAGGTAGCCTTTTGTGCCTTCCCTGTAGCCAAGAAAAATAGATTTCCTTGCTCTTGGTTCGAATTTATTGCGATGGTTAAGCAAGGTCGAAGAATAGGAAAGACAACCAAAGACTCTCATATGGTTAAGGCTGGGAGGAGTAGAATGGAGTTTTTGGTAGGGAGAGTGGTTGTTTAAAAGAGGACTGGGAAGACGGTTTATAATATGAATGGCCTGTTGTATGGAAAGGTGCCAAAGGTTGTGAGGGAGGTGAGAGTGGAAAGAGAGGACACGGGCAACATTCAAAATGTGCTGATGTTTTCTTTCCATGATACCATTCTGTTGAGGTGTTTTCACACAAGACCTTTGATGAATGATTCCTTTAGAAAGGTAGAAAGTGGTCATGAGAAACTCAGGACCATTATCACTACGAATGCACTTGAGTTTCTTGTTAAATTGAGTTTCGATAAAGGATATGAAGTGAATTAAATGGTTTCTGGTTTCACTTTTGTTGGCCATAAAAATTGTCCAAGTAAACCTGCTGTAATCATCTACGAGGGTTAAAAAATACTTGTGGCCACATATGGAAGGTGTGGAAAGAGGGCCCCAAATATCGACATGAAGTAAATCGAAGATGGCAACAGACTTAGTATTACTGTGAGTAAATGGCAAATGTTTTTGTTTAGCCAAAATGGAAAGTATTACAGGGCTTATGATTGTCATTGTAGGTGACAAAAGGAAATTGAGAGGAAATACATTTGTGTATGTAAGGACTTAAGTGTCCAAGCCTAAGATGCCAAATAGTAGCAGGATCGTGTTTAGCAGGTTCTAATTGGGGAGAAGAGGAGGTGTTGACAGAGCCAGATGTGGGAGAGATGGCCTTAGGTGGGTTGGCATCAAGAACATACAATTTGCCAATCCTCCTAGCTGTAAATCCAGTTATCTTGGATTGGGACAACTGCATAATTTGACAGCAATTAGGGGAAAATTTCACATCATATAAAGTGGAGTCAAAAAGAGTGGTGACAGAAATAATATTGACATGAAATGAAGGAAAGTAATAAACATTGTGAAGGACAAGTGAATCACATAGTAAAACTGAACCAGCAATAGTTGTAGTGACAGAGTCATCATTAGGCATTGTCATAGATTTAGGTGCAATGTGGTATGTGGAAAGGAAACTGGCAAAGATATGGGTGATGTGATCAGTGGCACCTGTGTCAATAATCCACCAGTTATGACAAGTAAGATTCGAGGAATTCTTACCAGAGGAAGTATGAGGAGAGGTATGGGAAACAGAATTAGCAGTATAAACTGAATTAATCGAGGGAGGTGAAGGAGATTGCAAATTAGACTGTTGGAGGAGCTGCAGAATTTGAGTGTATTGCTCTTGAATCATAGACAAAGCACTTGGACTGGTGTTTGATGTGGAAGAAGAGGAAGATAATGCCTCAAGTTGAGGAGAAGCAACATCTTGAATCGAGTTCACTGTAGAATCAACAGAATTCCCCACAGATGTAGTAGGCTTGCGTTGTTGAAATCCAGGGGGATAGCCATGTTTCATGAAACAAGTCTCAATGGTGTGATTGGTGCGGTTGCAATGAGTACATAGTCAGTTTCCACGACCACCACGGCCACGACCACGACCAGGATTGTGAGAAGAACGAGAAGGTGCTTGAGAAAGGTGATTCACAGACAATTGAGACTCAATTGAAGAAGCAAAAGGTTAAAGAAGGTTGAATTGACGTTCTTGTTGAAGAACCAGATTAAACACATTATCAAGAGTTGGTAGTGGGGTCATCAACATAATTTGCGAGCGAACATGAGCGTATTGGTCACCAAGGCCCTTCAAGAACTTGATAACTTTATCTTGTTCTTTGAATTTGCGTAAGTCTGTAGCAGCACCACAGGAGCACGGTATAGTGCAAGTACAATCACGAATTGGCCGGAAGTTCTCGATTTCTTCCCAAAGCGTCATCAATTTCGTGAAGAAGGAAGAGATATCGAGAGTTCCTTGTTGAAGACGAGCAACAGTTTCTTGAATGTCAGCAATGCGAAAAATATCTCCCTGAGAAAAACGATTTTCCAGACTTTTCCATACAAGAGAAGCACGATCATACCATAGAAGAGATTTTGCAATTTCCTCAGAAATCGAGCGTTGAAGCCATGAGAGGACGAGATTGTTGCATCGCAACCAAGGTTCGTATAGAGAGTCGGAGATAGGCGGAGGAGAAAGAGTGCCATCAACGAACTTGATCTTGTTCTTGGAGATAAGAGCCACTTTCATCGATCTAGACCAGATCTGGTAGTTCTTGGTATCAAGAACAGGTTGAACAAGAACAAGAGAGGGATTCTCATTAGGATGCATGTAGTAAGGATTGGAAGGATTGGTGGCAAAATCAAAGTAAGGAAGTGCCATGATCAAGCTGATGCAGCAAAGGGAGAAGAAGGCGCGAAGAAGATGAAAGGAAAAAGGAAAGGCGCGGAAATGAAATTTCAAACTGATACCATGTTAATTTTGGAATAAGCTCATTGTATTATTTTTCTTTTGGAATGTACAAGACAATATTATATATACTGTTAAGTAACAAACTAAATTAACTAACTGTTAAGTAACAAACTAACTAACTGTTAAGTAACAAACTTAACAGAATTATAAGTAACAAACTTAACAGAATTATTTGCATCATGTGATACACTCGATGATCCCTAGAGTTTCAATTAGATGAAATATTTCATACCCAACAAGTGATTGGCAACTATAATAGCCAAATGCTTTGCGTGTTATTGTGGAGTTTGATGAATTTCATTCACCTATTGGAGAGGTCGCGGGTTTGCTTGTAGGAGTATGTGGACTAGTAGCAACGAGTAGTCTCTTTTATTTATAGGTTTTGAAAAATGGTCACTTATGCTTGAAGGTTATTTTAACGAACTGTGGAATACCCTTTTTCAGGTAAATTACTTTTAATTTTACAAATGTATAGAGAGTTTTCATATGAGACATTGCAAGTGATTAACATTCTTGTTATTAGAAGGCTCACTTTTATTTTAAGGTACATGAAGATTTAGCTAAAAGATATATTGATGCTTCGATTGAAAAATAGTGGAAGGAGTATATGCTTAAGCTTTGGAATGCTAACTATGATCCATTTTTGAGAAAAAGTCAACTTATTAAAAATAAACCCGAGGATGTTACCTTAGACCATTGGGCATTATATGTTAACTATTTATTCAAACTAGAGACGATGGCATGTACTTCATTTTTCATTGTATATTGAATATATTTTTTTACGTAATATTTTGTGAAATTATAGAAAGTAGTTTGTTTCCACTTCTAGGATCTTTGTAAGAAAAATCAACAAATAAGGAATAAACAAGTATTTTCTCATACGTGTGGTGCCAAGTCTTTGACAAGGAGAAGACATGAAATAGTAAGTTTAACATTATCTTTTTCTAAACATTTTTCTTAGACTTGAGTTAAATACATAATGATATTGTGTATTATTTTTGTAGATTATTGAGACGAGTAAGACTATTGGTCGGGGTCAAATGTGGAACGTGGCCCATAAAAAGAAAGATGAGAGCTATGTGAATGAAAAAGCAAAGGAGATGGGGGTAATTGATAATCTACATATCCTTATATGTGTTAGTATATGTTCATTTGTTATATTATGAGTAAATGAATGATATTCATTGTTCATTTGTATTTTATGTAGGAAAAAATTGATAGTTACTTAAATCAAAATCTTAAGGCTTCTTCTGAAATTTCTTCAAATGATATTGTTGGAAAGGTATTCGGAAAAGAGAATCTTGGCCGTGTTCGAGCAATGGGCATGGGAGTGGTTCCTACTACTGCTTTTAAACAAACCATTACACGACTTAGGGTATGGAGTTTGGTTCTTCAAGTGGTAATACTTTAAATGCTAGTTCTTCATTGGTGGAAAAAAGACTTGGATCTGTGACTGCTCTATTGGAAGCATTTGTAGGCTATATTAGTATAAAAGAAGGTGGTACACTCCCTGCAGATTTAGTTGTTGTACTTGCAAATCATACATAACCGGTACATCAATTAGTTAGTTTTTTTTGTTCGATCTTTAGCTGGCCTGATCATTAACATGTGTGCTACTTTTTGAGTATATTACTAATTTTGCTACTTCGTGAGTCTATTAGTGATCGTGTTTAATTGACAGTGTAATATAACATCGCAATCGCCCATGATTTCTGGCAGCAATGGTCCTTTATAATATCAAGAAAGTATTCTAGATATATGTCCCTTAAAATATATGCAATGCATTGTATCATGATTACCGCAAAATATATATCCTTTAGAATATTGAAATTACCTTAAAATATATGTTATGTACTGTATATGTCCCTTAGAATACCAATAGTGTTGTTATTGTTAGCTTTACTTATTTTATTCTAGAAGTTATTTTATATGTACATTACATTAAAATATATGTACAATACTTTAGAAGTTATTGTAAAGTTATTTTATATGTACATTACTTTAGAACATAGTTATCCTTGAATATATGTATAATTCTTTATATAGTTACTGCTTATGATCTTGCTTATGATCCAACTGTTACAATATGGACATTTTATTCTAAAAGTTATCTTATATAGTAGTTAATCTAATAATTTTTTTGGTTTATATACACTTTTGGTTAAAAACTAGTTTTTTGGTCCTTTCTATAAAAATTAGTTGTAACATAATAATTTTTTTTTGTAGGTTTCAGAGGCAGAAAGTGAGTCTTCATCATCTAATTCCATAAGAAGATCATTAGATATAAGCAATACCCATGATGCAAATCACCAAAGTCCTTCAAATGACACATGATTTATTTATGAAATTTTTATGTTATAAAACTTGTTTACTTTGAGAATAGCTAAAGATAATGACACAATTGTTATTCATTTTTATGATTTAGTATTTTTAAACAAGGTTGTAATATGTATATCAAACAAGTTAGTCTCATTATTAATCTTGAAGAAGTTGAACAATTACAATGACTTATATATTTAGTGAATGTATTTTTAATGTCTTTTAACATTTTTATATGGATACATTCAAAAGTAAACTTCAATTTAGAAAATTTAAATTTACTTTAAAGTCGGTAGTAAATAATGACAAAAAATTTAAATTTAATTTTACATATTTTAATATAAAAATTTATATTATTGAAAATTATGGCGGTTTATAGAATAATACTGATAACAAATTATGGCGGTTAAATTTGACGTAAATTTCAGTAAATTATGGCGGATTTCAAAGAAACATATTATTAAAGAACTTATTTAAGTGTGAAAATTGTGGTGTTTCAAACTGTCACTATTTCCAATAAAAAACGCTATTTTAACCTAAATTTAAAATGGCGGTTGTCAGGCGTTTATTTTAGGCAAAATACCCTTTTTAGTCCTTTAAGTTTACCCCAAGGTCCATTTTGGTCCTTTATCTAAAAAAAGTGTCAAACTGGTCCTATAATTCTTTCAAAAGGACCACGTTTGTCCTTTCCATCCACTCCGTTAGTCATGTTTAATGGCAGCGCTTATGTGGCATTACACGTGGGTTTAGAAAAATTGCATGTGGCAATTCCACTTAAAAGTCAGTTTGACACTCTTATGTGGCATTACCACTCATCCATTGCATGTTTCCTTGAAGGTGAAACCAGACTTCTCATCAGAGGTAAGTTTCTGCAAGAATTCTATTTTCATAGTTAGGGTTTCCATGAAATTTTTCTCCCTTCTCTGAAATTCATCTCTCTATTTAGGGCATTGTGTGTAATGGAGGAAATTCTTAATATTACGATACACCACAGTGGTCAATTTGTTAGTGAGGACTTGAGTGTGTACGAAGGAGGTGAGATTGCTGATTTGAGAGTAGATGCTGATATGTGGGGTTATTTTGAGTTATTGGGTGCTATTAAGGAACTAGGTTACCCAACCATAGAGAAGATATACTATAAGGATCCAACTACTGGAATGAATCTGTTGTTTGATGACAAAGGGGCCTTAGAGATTTCTGATCTATATAGGGTTCATTTACGTGTTGAAGTCTTTATTCAACACCCATTGTCACAGCCTGAGTATGTTGATGAGAGTGAAGTTATTTTAGATGAGATACCCCTGAATGTAATGGAAGAGGATGCAGTGAGACAAAATGAGGTAAGTGAGGATGCTGTTGGACAGAAGGAGGCAAGTGAAGATGTTGTTATACAGAAGGAGGCAATTGAAGATGTTGTTGGACAGAAGGAGGCAAGTGAAGATGTTGTTATACAGAATGAGGCAAGTGAAGATGATGTTGGACAGAAGGAGGAAAGTGAAAATGCTGTTGGACAGAATGATGATGATAGTTCTGATGATGATAGCTCTGATGATAGTAGCTTTTCGTATGATAGTGCAAATGAGGTTGTATTTGATGATGAAATTGATGAGTGTGATACTGACTTGGAAGAGGAAGAAGGTATGGAAGATGTAACTGATCTCTGTGAAACTGAACCAAATAAAGAAGATAGTAAAGGAAGTGATAAAGGAAGTGATAATGAAAGTGAGGATCTTGTAAGTGATTGTGATAGTGAAGATAGCAATACTACCAAGAGAAAGAAGTATCCCATTTTCAAGCTTCTAAAGGATATGTCCAATTACAAATGGGAAGTGGGTACATATTTTAGTATAAAAGAAGATATCAAGGAAGCAGTTACCTCTTATGCAGTCTAATCTGGCAGAAATTTAAAGTACATCAATAATGACAAGATAAGGGTTAGGGTTAGGTGTAAGGATGGATGTGAATGGGAAGGTTATTGGGCTAAGTTGGATGTTGAGGATACTTGGCAACTAAGAAAGGTGGTAGACACCCATAGTTGCAGTAGAGAATATCATGTGAAGTTGTTGAAGACTAAATGGCTTAGCAAGAGGTTGCAGAATGCACTTAAAACCAACCCTAGATTGAAGCTTAAGGACATTAAGGAAAAGGTGCAGAAGAAGTGGAATGTGGGGGTCAACAAAACCAAGGCTATAAGGGCTAGTTTTGCAGCAAGAGACATGGTTGATGGGTCATTCTTAGGGGATTATACAAGGATTTATGACTATGCACATGAGTTGTTAAGATCTAACCCAGGGTCAACTGTGAAAGTACATGTCCAACCAGCTCAAGAAGGTAGTGGTGTTCAGAAATTACACTTCAAAAGGATTTACATATGCTTGGCAGCTTGTAAGGAAAGCTTCAAGTTAAGTAGACATTTCATAGGGCTTGATGGATGTTTTTTGAAAGGGCTTTGTGGAGGTCAAATCCTGTCAGCCATAGGCAGAGATCCCAATGATCAAATGCTACCAATAGCATATGCAGTAGTGGAGAGTGAAAACAAGGAAAGTTGGACATGGTTCTTGGAGCTGCTTATTGGTGATCTAGGTGGAAGAGAAGAGTGTCTCACATACACTTTTATTTCTGATCAACAAAAGGTATGACTCTATTGTTAATTCTCAATTGATTAGTATTTTTAATAATTAAATTATCATGTTTATCCTGGTATTCTCATGTTTAATAATTAAATTCTATACATATCATGACCCAGGGATTATTGCCTGCAATGGAGGAACTGCTGCCTACAGTTGAACAAAGATTCTGTGTTAGGCATCTCTACAACAACTTTAGGAAGAGATTTCCAGGAAAAAAACTAAAGAAAATTATATGGAAGGCATCCAAATCAACTTACTACCAAGCTTGGGAAAGAGATATGAAAGTTATGAAACATATCAATGGAGAAGCATACAAGCACATGATGTCTACCCCTCCAAGGTTTTGGAGCAGATCATACTTCAAGACTCATAACAAATGCGATGCAGTTCTCAATAATATGTCAGAATCCTTTAATAGTGTTATTTTGGAGTCAAGGGCCAAGCCATTAATAACCATGGTGGAAGAAATTAGGATATACATGATGGAGAGATGAGCTACAAACAGGATGAGGTTTCAGAAATTGACAGATGTAGAAGTGTTGCCAAACATTATGAAAAAGGTTGAGAAAACAAGTTCATTCACAAACATGTGGCTTCCCAGGTAAAATTATTAAAACAAGCATTTTTTGTGTTAGAATGTCTGACTTTGGAATGTCCATTTGATGTCTTAATTTGGAATGTCCATTTTTCTGTGTTAGGATGTCTGATGAGCATATGTTTGAAGTGAGGCATCTGGAAAATTCTGCTGAAAAATTCACTGTAAACTTGAAGGAAAAAATCTGTTCATGCAGAAGATGGGAGCTAACAGGCCTACCATGTGTTCATTCACTTGCAGCAATCAAGAATAGGAACCATAGGATTGATGAATACATTCCTGATTATTACAGGAAATCTAGATATTTGCAAGTGTACAAACCTGTCATATTCCCTGTTAATGGCTCAAACCTATGGGTTACAACTGAGTACCCTGATGTTATGCCACCCAAATTCAGGAAAATGCCTGGAAGGCCAAAGAAAAGGAGGAATTTAGAGCAAGGTGAGCTAGATGGTACTGATAAAAAGATGAGAAGAACAGGATTCATTATAAAGTGTAGCAGGTGTAAGCAGGTAGGTCACAACAAGCTTACTTTATCAATGCTACATTGATACACCCAGTTACTTTATAAATGCTACATTGATACAAAAATTGCTACATTATGTTTTACAGTATGTTACATTGATCAAAATGCTACTAGTTCAAAAATTCAAGTTGATACAAAAATTCAAATTCATAATGATACCATGTTCAAATTGAGACTGTGTTACATATGAATCTATTACAACATCATCCAAATTACCACAACTAACATAATAAAGAAGAATCTTTTCCATTTTTTCTGAGAATTCTTCATCTTCTTCATTTCAATTTGTAACTCTATTATCTTATGTTTCAGCCCATCCTTCCTTTCCTTTAGATGATGTATCTCCATCTTTGCTCCATCAAGCTCATTTTGCAGCTTCTCCAACCTATTATTCTGCTTCTTTATAAACTGATCCTTCTCATCCACCACATCATCAAAGAACCATTGAAAGTATCCACACCCAGATTCAGATGAACCCTATAATGGTGACATCCAGATTCATCTCAGCTATTGCAGGAACTATCAGAACAAGAATATATGAAAACCCATTTTAATTTCATGCTTACCTTGTAATGACGACAATCCCAGAATTGCTTCCCAAAGTTTGTGACAGTGGTAGCCCTTCGAAGAACCGCAGATTCTCCAACCCACATATAGGTCTCCATCGCAACTTTCCATCTAAGCTTCCATCTCTATTGCAATCGTACGAAGACCGGATCTCCGATGATGCTTCCTTCATCATATTGAGGGAATTTCAAATTCAAAATGGGAAAATTGAGGATTTCTGGAACCCTAGAATTTGAGGATTTCTGGAACTAGCTTGAAGATGATAACATTCCATGTCACCTGCCACGCATGCAAACCAAACGTCCATTTGTGCCTTTTGGACGGAAAGGACTCCTATGGTCCTTTTGAAAGAATTATAGGACCAGTTTGACACTTTTTTTAGATAAAGGACCAAAATGGACCTTGGGGTAAACTTAAAGGACTAAAAAGGGTATTTTGTCTTTATTTTATAACCTCCATAATTTATCTAGTGGCATTCCACGGTTGAAGTCACCATTTTAGTGAATTACATTGGTTGCAACAGCCACAATCATCTTAAAGTAACCGCCATAATTCACGCGATTTTTATAGTGATCTTAAACATATCAAAATCATTTCAAAAGATTAAAAAGTACAAAAAATTTCAAATCTTTTGTGCATTTTTCCTTTTAAATATTTTTCTCAAATATTAGATATTAGTTGATTCTTGTAGTAATGT